AAAGGAAGTGGTGGAGGAGGCCTGGGGCCCTATCCTTTAAACTATAAACAGATGAAAAACAGACACAGCAGAGGATAAACTAGACAGTTAGGCTCTCTCTTTTTTTTAAAATTTTTTAATTTTTATTTTATTATTATTGTGTGTGTGTGTACCATCAAATCTGAGGAGATTGTCCCTCCTTCTCCAGCAGAGCATCTGATGGATTTGAACCATTCACCTGGGGGATTGCAGTGCAGTTTCTAGCCACTAGGCCACCAGAGCTCCCTTTAAAAACACAGTTCTAGCGAGCTCTTGTGGCCTAATGGCAAGAAGCTGCACTGCAATCCCAGAGGTGAGCGGTTCAAATCCACCAGATGCTTTGCTGGAGAAGGAGGAACAATCTCCTCCTGTACCAGTCAAATCTGATTTGACGGTACACACACACAAATAATAAAAATAAAGTAAAAAAAAAATTAAAAACAAAAAACCAAAACACAGTCCTTTTGTGTATAAAAAAAATTTCTCCCAAAGATAACTTATAGATTGGGAAAAATTATTTGGAAATGACATGTATGACAAGGACTCACCCCAAATTTAGAAAACTCCAGTGCCTCAACAAGAAAAAGATAATCCAATTACAAAATAGGCAGAGGACATGAATAGACATTTCACCAAAGAAGACATTCAGATGAACAGAAAACACATGAAGAAATGCTCAAGATTATTAACTATTGTTGTTAGGTACATTGAGTCAAGTATGACTCATAGCAACCCTATGAACAATAGATCTGAACCCTAGCCTGTCATATCCTGTGCCACCCTTATCATCTATGACATACCTGAGCCATGGCTGAAGCCACTTTCTGTCAATCTCATTAAGGATTTTTCTCTCTTCCACCTGCCCCTTCACCTTTGCAAGCATGGTGTCCTTCTCCAAGGAATAGTGCCTCTTAGCAGTATGCCCAAATTACGTGAAATGAATCCTTGTACTCTTTGCCCTTGAAGGAGCATTCTGGCTGTACTTTGTGCAAGAGATATCTGTTCTTTTGTCAGTCCATGGGATATTCATTGCTCGTCTCCTACACCAAAACTCAAAGGCATCAATTCTCCTGTCATCCTTATTCATTGTCTAGCTCTCAGATGCATAACAAGTGATTGACAAGACCATGGCTTGGATTTTTCATGTTAGTTTTCAAACTGACATTTTCCCAGTGCAGTACATTTCCTGATGTGACTGCAATACCAAGGATGTTGATGGTGAATCCAAGTAAGAGAAAATCATTGACAATTTCAATCTTTTCTCTATCAGGATGTTGCCTTTTAGTCCATTAGGGCAGATTTGTTTTCTTGATGTTGAGATGTAATCTGTATTGAAGGTTGTAGTCTTTAATCTCCTGAAACAAGTCCTTCAAATCCTCCTCACTCTTGGTAAAGTTATACCATTTGCATAACACAAGTTGTTGAGTCTTCCTCTGATCCTGATGTCATTAGAGATTCAAATCAAATCCAGCAAAGTTCAATAAGATAGCAAACACCAGATGCTGATGAATGTGTTAAATGATGGGACCCCTTAAACAATGCTGATGGGAATGTAAAATGATGCAACCACTGTTAAAAGCATTTTGGTGCTTCCTTAGTTGGGACTAGAAACGCTATTTGATCCAACAATTCCACGTGTAGGTTTATATCCTAAAGAAATAAGATCTGTCAGACAGACAGATGTACACCAATATGCACCCCAGCATTGTTTATAATGGCGAAGGTATGGAAATAAACCAAGTCCTTATCAACAGAGGAATGGGTAGAGAAACTGGTACATTCACACAGTGGAGTACTGTGCAACACTGAAAAATACTAAAGAATTCACAAAATACTGCATATCATTGATACACCTAGAGAACATTATGCAACACAAAAGTATTATTGTAGTATACTGTTATAAAAAGTGAAGAGAAGATTTACACAGAGATAGACTTATTCTTGGACAGTTTACTAGATATGGGGAAAGAGAAGTAAAAATGAGTAAATTGAGTGAAGTGAAAAACAATGTACAATAAAGGGTTGATCAGACATGATAGTAATTACATTACCAAATTATAATTAAAATTTAAAATATCAGGTTTTTTTAAATCAATATATATCTAATGAGTCACCTGCAACTCAACGGCACTTAACAACAACAAAAATCTTTGATACAGGCCATAGTCTTTGCCATTACTTGCCATGCATCAGATTGCTGGACAATGACTAGGGATGATAGAAGGAGAGTTGATGCCTTTGAGCTGTGGTGTTGGAGAAGAGTGTTGAATATCCCATGGACTACAAGAACAAACAAGTTCGTCCTGGAGAGGGTGAAGCTAGGCAAGGATTCTGAAGCTTCGTCTGACATACTTTGGACATGTTGCAAGGTGGGATCAGTCCTTGAAGAGGAATGTCATGCTTGGGAGGGTGGAGGGACAGCACAGGAGAGGAAGACCTTCGATGAGATGGATTGATTCCGTCACTGGGGTAATGGGGCAGGTGTGTCAGAGACAATAAGATTGGCAAGGAATAGAGCAGGGTTTAGGGCTGTTGTACATAGATAGAGTCACTATGAGTCGCAAGTGACCTGACAGCACATAGCAACAGCAACAACAAATCTTTGAACTTAATATTTATAACATTATAAAATGTATATGAATGTTCTCATGAAATTATAATGTTACAAAAAAGAAACAAGAATGAGTGAAGATACAAGCTAATCTTTGTAGAATTGCATCTGGCCTCCAACACAGGGTTACATTAGGTGCAAAGGGGAGGATAATTACATAGTACTGGGAATTTTGGCCTGGTCAGGTTGACACCCATTTTGGGGGGAAATTCAATTGATAGCATTACCTCAGTTCTTTCTGCACATACAGTTCAGTAATAGATGCGGTGACATCTTAACTCACATATCTGTAATATTTTCAATCAGAGGTATATTTAGAATGAAAACCATAAAATGTTGATAAGCAGTACCCTATCGCCAGCTTGCACTCCACAAAGGTGGTGGTTTACATTCCTGGATTGGTGTGTGCGAGGCCCTGTTTGCACGCTCCTGCCTGCATTGCCATTACAGGGTTGTGCATCTTCATAGATCTGATAGGTAATTGAGATCTTGTATACCTCACCGATGACAGAGGGGCATGTGGGCTGAAATGGTGGCTTCGTGGAGGAGGAGGAACAGAGGATCATGAACTGGACAGTCTCCCCTTTCTCGTCTTTAGTCTTGGGGAAGTCTTTTTTTAAATTATTATTTTTATATTTTTTAATTATATTTTTTGGTTGATATTTTAACAAAGTTTACAGAAAACTTGGATTTCCATTTATTCATTATTGCACATTTTCCTCCCTACCTCCTACTTTGCTTTTCTCTTTAAGAAGATTCTTTCATTGTTGCACAATTTCCTCCCTCCCCACTGCCCCCCAGTCCACTTTGCTTATATACCTTTTATTCTGGACGGTTGTAAAAAATATAGAACACTTCATGAACTTGCATGTCATCCTTACACAGGGGCCATGCTAATCTTCTCTGTATCATTCTAGTTTTACTATCTGTGCTGCTGAAGTGAGCACGGGGAAGTCTTACATCTTCAGCTCCTGCATGGGCATTCTGTAGCTGGAGAGAAATTGAAGATAACTTGTAAAATTATCCCTGTGTAAATAATCTCTGTCCTGTTTAACCAGTAGAACTCAGTTCTCATTTCTATAGCACATTCTTTGTTAATTCACCAGCAGTAATAGGCTTATGGCTTGGCACACTTTTGGTTGACACCTAAAAGCAAACCATCTGCCTTAGGCAGAAACTCACAACTTGGCTTTTTTGTTTGTTTGTTTTTCTTTCTTCTTCTTATTATTTTAAATGAAAATTTACAGACTTTTAATTTCTGTTCATTCATTGTTGTACTTTTCTCCCTGCCTGCCCCCCCCCCCAGTTCACTCTTCTCTTTGAAAAGTAAAAGAAAAATTCTTTCATTGTTACACAATCCCTCCCCTCAAGTCCACTCCACTATGCAGCCTTCGTTCTGGACTCCTGTCATGACAATAATACCTAATCAGATATCCCTTTATAATACCTAATCACATATCCCTTTTAAACAGTTCTCTCCCTCATCTGTTTCAATACAATATACATAATTTATCCCATCTTTCTCAATCTTCCCCCAACCCCGATGTCAGTCCTGTTTTACAACAGTGGCACTATGCAGTATTTGTCCTTTTGTGACTGAGATATTTCACTTGCGTAATGCTACTTGGGTTTTTAAAGTATATCTTTGATGTTGTTGTGTACTGTCGAATTAGACCCTACTGGCACAGGAGAAGATTGCCCCTCCTTCTCCAGCAAAGCATCTGGTGGAGTCTAACCTAAAGAGTGTGTGTGTGTGTGTGTGTGTATTTTTTTTTTTTAGTGTAAGCCTCACTTTTTTTATTTTTAAAGGGAGCTCTGGTGGCGTAATGCATAGGAAGTTGTGCTTCTAACCCAAAAATGGTGCCTCTGGTGGTTCAAATCCATCAGTAGCTCTTGAGGGAGAAAGGTGGGCAGTCCCTTCCTGTGTGATTTACAGCTTCCCAAAAACCTGATGGAGGGTCAGCTATGAGGTGGTTCAGACAGGACAGCAATGAGTTGAGCTGATACTTATTTTAAAGTTTACCGACTTGGAACAACTGAAAACCCTGATTGGCACATTGGGGTTTTGGATAGTGGGTGGCTAGACCAGGATGGCTAGCTCCGTGCCTTGACCTTTTGTTTTGTAGCAGTCTTGGTCTTTTGCTTGGGTTAGGAACTGGCTTTGACCTGAAGAAGGCCAAGGTTAGCCCATGTCTGCCACCCATGCCCAGTCCTGGTGACGTGAGGCAGATGTGTCCTCAGAGGGCATCAGACATCCTCTTCCTGTGGTTTGGGGACACCAGTACCCAGAGAAAAGTAGGCCCAGCATCACTCCCACCTCCCAGTCTGACCCCAAGGGAGGTTGTGTGACACTGTCTGTTCTTCCCTTCAGGACAGAGTTACTAGGCTGCTACAATGATCAGGACTTTCTGGCCAAGTTACATTGTGTCCGACAGGCCTTTGAGGTGAGTGTGGGCTGGGTATAGGGTATGCATTGGGGGGATAGAGCCAGGGTTGGGGTTCATGCCAGACACTGTTCATGTGGTTTTTGCTGCCTTCATTTTTACCCATGCCAGGCTCCTTTGGGATCGGGCCCCTATCTAGTCCCACATGCTGCTCTGTCCACAGACTCTAGAAGATTGCCCTGCCAATGGCTCACTGCTGGTGGGAATGTAAAATGATGCAACTGCTGTTAAAAGCATTTTGGTGCTTCCTTAGTTGGGACTAGAAATGGCTCACCCTCTTTCTCTCCTCCCTCACTCCTTAGGGTCTCCTAGAAGATAGCAGTAACCAGCTTTTCTTCGGGGAGGTTGGCCGGCAGATGGTGACTGGCCTTATGACCAAGGCTGAGAAGGTAGTGGGATGTGTCTTTGTTCAGTTCTTTCTCTTGCTTGTTTTGTTCACCTTTCCTTTGATTTTATTTAACAAAACCCAGTCTGAAAATAAGTAGCTGACTGTTGTGGAGAAGATGTCCAATTGAAGGACAGTGTGAGCCACATATGAAATTTTCAATGTGCGAGTAGCCACGTGGAGTCCCTGGGTGCCATGCATGATTAAGTTCTTGATTGCTACACGAGATTGGTGGTTTGAACCCACCTGAGATGCCTCTGAAGATTGATCAGGTAGTCTTTTTTTCTGAAAGATCATACACAGCCTTAAACCCTGTGTACTTCTCTGCATACAAGGGGTAGCTATCAGTTGAAATTGACTCAATTGAAAATAATAGTAAAACAGAAAACCAAACCCACTTGCTGTCGAGTTAATTGCAACTCAGAGCAGCTTTGAAAAGGATCGTGTAATTTGCTCTGTAGGCTTTCCTAGGTTGTAACTTTACAGAAGCAGGCTGCCATCTTTCTCTCCAGGAGAGCTAATAGGTTTGTACTATGCCTGATGTCTGGGTTAGCAGCTTAGTGCTTAATCACAGTGCCACTAAGGTTAGCAATAACAACAGTAGCTGTGAAAAAGTGAAAAGAAACAGGTGAAATTAATTTTAATAGAACATTTTAACCCGTATTTCCCACATTATCAGTTCAATGTGTAATCACTGTATAGCTGATTGTTATTATTGCTATGTACCGTCTAGTTGCCTGCGACTCATAGCAACCCTATGTACAGCTACCCTAAACCTTGCTCTATCTCTTGCCAACCTTATTGTCTCTGACAAATCCATTCCCACTACCTTAGTGACTGAATCAATCCAAGTCTTCCTCTCCTGCACTGCCCCTCCACCCTCCTAAGCATGACATCCCTCTCCAGAGACTGATCTTGCCTTGCAGCATGTCTAAAGTATGTCAGATGAAGCTTCAGAACCCTTGCCTCCAAAGAGCAGCCTGGCTTCACCCTCTCCAGGATGAATTTGTTCTCCTAGCAGTCCATGGTATATTCAGTACTCTTCTCCAGCACCACAGCTCAAAGGTTTCAACCCTCTATCATCCCTAGTCATTGTCCAGCTCTCTGATGCATAGCAAGTAATAGCAAAGACCATGGCCTGTATCAGGCGCACCTTAGTCTCCAGACTGACATCGTTGCTTTTCAGTACTTTAAAGAGGTGTCTGACAGCAGACTTTCCCAATGCAATTCATCTTTTGAGTGTTGATTGTAGAGCCAAGCAAACTGAAGCTGTCAACAATCTCAGTCTCTTCATCATGATGCTGCCAATCGGTTCAGTGGTGAAAATCTTTGTTTTCTTAATGTTGAGCTTCAGTTCATATTGTAGTCCTTAATGTTCTGCAGCAACTACTTCAGGTCCTCCTCAGTTTTAGCAAGCAGGGTTGTATCATCTGCATAACGCAGATTGTTGATGAGTCTATCTCCAATCCTGATGCCACACTTCTCATTGAGCCTAGCCTCCTGTATAATCTGTTCCGCATACAGGTTGAGAAGATACAGAGCTAGGACACATCCTTGACGCACAGTCTTCCCAGTTTTGAACCATGCAGTGTTTCCTTGCTCTGTTCTGACCACTGCCTCCTGGTCCAAGTATAGTTTTTACATAAGCACAATCAAGTGTTCTGGAATTCTCATTCTTTTCAGAGTCAGCCACAGTTTGTTATGATCCACACAGTCAAATGCCTTTGTACGTAGTCAATGAAACACAGATAGATATTCCTCTGGTACACTCTGCTTTCAGCCAAGATCCATCTAGCTATAATATCTGTAGTGCCACGGCCTCTTCTAAACCCAGCCTACACTTCAGGCAGTTCTCTGTTGATGTGCTGTTCCAGTTGTTTTTAGATAATCTTCAGCAGAATCTTGCTTGCATGGATATCAATGATACTGTTTGATAATTTCCACACTCTGTTGGATCACCTTTCTTTGGAATGGGAACAAATAGAGATCTTTTCCAGTCAGTTGGCCAAGTGGTTGTCCTCCAGATTTCATGGCACAACTTGATGAGAATATCCAGGGGCAGCATCTGTTTGTTGAAATAAGTCAATTGGTGTGTCATCAAATCCTTGGGCCTTGTTCTTTGATAATTCTTTCAGAGCTGCTTGAACTTCTTCCTTCACCACCACAAGCTTTTGCTCATATGTTGTTTCATGAAATTCTTCTGTGTCCACCAATTCCTTTTGGTACAATGACTCTGTATAGTCTTTCCATCTTCTTTTCGTGCTTGCTGGATCATTGAATATTCTGCCCAAAGCTTTCTTAAGTATAGCTGATATATAAAAATATTTTAACAGCTGGTGGCTTAGTGATAAAGACTTGTGCTGCCAACCCAAAGGCTCACCATTCAAATCCACCAGCTGCTCCATTGGTGAAAGATGGGTAATTGCTCCCTTATCCTCTCCTTACAGCACAAATATTTAGATATTTGAATCCTGGGGATTATAATTGTCCCCACTAGGTACCCTAGTCTGGAGGGTGTCATGATGCCGCATCTCTGGTGGTTTGAATCCACTGGCTGTTTGGAGGGAAAAAGATGGGAAGTTTCTTTCCATTGGGATTTATAGGCTTGAAAACCCGATGAGGATTGCTCTGACTCTGGCAGTGAGTTTTAAGCCATTATGAGGATTTCATGGGATCACACACTTGCTAAGTACTAGCCAACACTAGTCTTATATAATTAATACATGCTTATTATATAGAAATGGTGCTTTTAAAAAGAAACACAGTAAAATAAAAAAAAAAGAAAGAAACACAGTGTTAGAATGGCATTAGAAGTGGTGTTGCAGAGACAGGTTGAAGCTATGTAGAGCCAGATTGGATTTCACTCATGTATGTGGCATCAGATTAATGGAAGATTCATCAGCAACTAGAGTTACAACTCTGCTTGCTGAAACTGAGGAGGATTGAAGCGCTGTTGCAGAGGGTCAAGGACTGCAGCCTTCAATATGGATTGAAGCTCAACATTAAGGAAACAAAGATTCTCACCACTGGGCCAGTTGGTGGCATCAGTATGAATGATGAACAGATTAAGATAGTTAACAGTTTTTGTTTGCTTGGCTCCACAGTCAACACTTCTTGGTACAAGCAGCCAGGAAATCAAGAGACTAATTCCATTGGGAAAGTCAGCTGTCAGGGATCTCTCCGTAGTGCTGAAGAGCAACAACATCAGGCTGGAGACTAAGATGCACCTGATCCAGACTATAGTCTTTGCAATTGTGTGATATGCATCGGAGAGTTGAACAGTGACTAGGGATGATAGAGAATTGATGCCTTTGAGCTGTGGTGCTGGAGAAGAGTGTTGAATATACCATGAATTGCTAGGAGAACAAACAGGTTTGTCCTGCAGAGGGTGAAGCCAGGCTGCTCCTTGGAGGCAAGGATTCTGAAGCTTCGTCTGACATACTTTGGTCATGTTGCAAGGAGGGACCAGTTCTTGGAGAGGGACATCATGTTTGGGAGAGTGGAGGGACAGCGCAGGAGAGGAAGACCCTCGATGCGATGGATTGATTCGGTGTTTGGGGTGGAGGGAGTGTGTCAAGACAGCGAGGTTGGTTGGCACAGGATAGAGCAGGGTTTAGGGCTCTTGTACATAAGAGTCACTATGAGGTGCAAGTGACTCGATGGCACATAACAACAACAGCAATGCTCTGTGACTGGTCAGCTCGTCCTGTTCCTCAATTTCTGCACAGAAAGAAATGTGTGTTCACCTCCCATGGTTAAGACCAAAGTCAATAATGTCTGAAACTTTTGTCAAACATGGCCCAGAACTTCAATGCTTGGTTAAGGCCACTTGTATTGATAAGTGACAGTGAACCCAAAGCAAGATTTCTCCCATGGACCAAGCCAACCTCATGGTTATCAAGTCTTTGTACAGATGATGAATGTCTGCATACGTGTCTGTGTGCTTTGAGAGTTCTTTTCCAACAGAATGGCTTGTGTGTGGTTTAAAGGTGTCTTTTGCCTTCTACTTTACTGGCAGCAGGTTGCAGGGTTTGCGTGCAGAGTGGGTATCTAGACCAAGTACCTCGGGCCTGGAGAGTCACTGCTGGGGCAGGGGCCCTGTTGCGGTTGTTATTGGAGCCACGTGACTCCAAGCTTCCATAGGTGGCCAATGAAAGACCTTTGGCAGCTGAGTGCTTAATCACTGTACCACCAAGGCTAACAATTACCACTCCTCCAGAGCAGTCAAGGGGGTGGGAAGAGCAGTGAGGTGTGGCCCTAGTTCTAATGAGCTCTGAGTGTGGAGCTAGGCGGGGCCTTGTAGTTGCCAAGGGGGAACCGGGACTGTGGGAGAAGGCCAGACCCAAGCCCTGTGACCCTTGAACACTCTGGGTTCATTTTTGAAACCCTGTTTAGTGCTGTGTGGACTGTTCCACACCTGTGTTTTGTTCTTTTACATTATATCTTGTTCATCTTCTCAAGTCAGCACATTGTCCCTTCAGTGACTGCACAGCATTTCGGTTTGTGGTCAGGCTGTAGTTTACCCCAGGCCTCTGTGGATAAACATTTGAGTTGTTTACAGACACGACTGCTTACTCATTCTCTTACAGCTCTTCTTAGGTTCCACTGTGGTTTTCGCTGGGATGAAGCTCTGGGGGTGGAAATAAGAACATATGGAAGGCTGATAGAGCTTCCCATTGTGCCCTCCTAAGGCTGTCTGCGTCTCCACTGGCGGTATTCAAGTGTCTGTTTCTTCACATTTTGGCCACTAGTGAATATTAATAATCTGTCTTTTACTCTTGAGTCATTCTTTTATTTCTTTTGTTGTTAGTGAGGTTGCATAATTTTTCATGTTTATTGGCTACTGTGTTTCTTTTCCTTGAGGGGCTGACCAAAGCTGTGGAACATGCCTTATCCTTCTGCATCTGTTCTCTTCACATGTGCAGTAAGGTTCTCAGATACACAACTGAGTTCACGATCTGTCTGCTTAACAGGTCTGCTTAACTCTTTTTTTTTTAATGTCAGATGGGTGGTGTGCCTATGGCCTAACAAGGTTTAAAGGGTGCACATGTCTGAAGTCCCAATCATCATGCCTATAAAACAGAAAAGGATCATGCTTTACACACTTTAATGGCTCATGCTGCCTTGGTTACATGGCGCACAGCTTTGAATAGATGACTTCATCTGGTCTGATGGGCTCATAATTCTGACCCGGGCTTTTGCATATACTGATCCAACTACCTTTAACACTGTTCTTTAATTTCTTTAAAAAAAACCCCAATTCTATCATGAAATACACATACTAGGGAGTGTAGAAATGTTCCAATAGAGTTTAAGAAAAGAAAAGATGGACTCTTTTGTACCTGGCACTCAGGCTAAGGAGTAGACCAGTTAGAATCTGGAAGCCCATTCAGTGAGTCTCCCTCGTGACTTAATTTCCTTGGTCATTTGCCTTCTGAGTCACAGCTGACTCAGAAGACTTCCTGGAAGTCTTCCCCTGCAAGTTATTCCGACACTGTTCCTGAGGCCCCAGAGCGTCATGGGTTTACCAGTATCGCCTCATCACTTCTGCATCTTGTTCATGGGTTCCTCTGTCCGTGCCACATTGCAGTCGCTATGACCAAGGGGTGCCCGCCCCAGAACTTGGCACAAGGCAGGTACTCAACAAGGGTTGTCAACTCTGCTAGCAGCGGTCATTTACCAGCTGGTGAGGTTGGTGCTTTGACTGTGTTTCTTTACTTTCAGCAGCCCATTAAAACCCTCCACATAGTACTCAACTGGTAGATGAAGAAGCCAGGCTTTGAGGTGCAAAGCATGATGTCCTCTAGATGTGTCCATGTTAGACACGTGGAACCTGGTTTTGAACCAAGGTCTCCCTGACACCAGCCTGTGCCCTTAGTCTGTTTCTTGAATCATTGAAGGGAGGGTAAGTAGGACTTGTGTGAACACGAGATACTGACGTGGGCGTTGCTGTCTGTGAGTTCTCCCAGAGAGGCCTGAAGATGCTGCTGTCATCTCCCCAGCCTCCACCTGAGCACAAGACTTGGATTTTATTTTTATATAAACAGAAGAGGCTCAAAGGCTGTGAAGCAGCACCGGAGCCTCTACATTGGACCCGGGGCCTATAACAGTGACTGTAGTGTCTCTGTTGGGTCTTATTAGTTGGCTGGGGCAGGAACCAGGCCTCTGATCTCGGGAAATGCCACAACCATGCTCTGTAGCATCAGGCCACCATCTCCCTATGTCTCTGGGCTACTCAGGAAACCTCTCCAAAGATTGGACTCCTCCTTGTCCCCGTGTGTGTAAACCAATGTGCCCCGGGATGTTGTGGGATGATACCAGTCGTACTCAACAAAGGACAGTCCTTAACCCTTGTCTCAACATCATTTTACAGATACAAGAATTGAAACGGGGAAAGTTAGACTAGATGGCCTAAGACCATGCTAGCAAATTCTCTTTAAAATTTAATGGAAATCATTTTTACTTTTTAAAAGGATTTTACAGATGATAGATATGTCTTGTAAAAAAATTAATATAAAGCAGCAAAACCAAAAGGAAGAATTGTTCCTAGATTGCCTTATTGACATTTGATCCATATTTGTTTGCTTTCTTCTTCACCCGTCGTCTTTATAAATGGCATCGCATGCTCTTGAGCACCAGCTCCACCCTGCCTGAGACCTAGCACATCAGTGAACTGATGCCTCAGTTTTCTTTCTGTAGAATGGACATAATAATACCCTACCTCATAGGACTGTAAAAATGAAATGAGCTAATTCTTGCTCAGAATAGAGCCCGGTAGGCACATAATGGTTCCATATCCATAAACGTAGATTTACATCTGCAAATTGTGTCTTCAGCTCCAGCTGAACTGCAGAGCCCCAGGGAGTAGAGACTATACTAGCGCACCTGGTTGCTTCTTGCCCTAGCACTTAGCTGCACCATCCTTATGAAGCGGCCACTGGAGACCAGACCAGGCACGGGGCCCATTTCTTGATACTAAGTCCCCAGTGAAGGGCTACAGTTCTTCCCATTTCACCAGCTAGGAAAACCATTGAGGGCCAAGGTCAAGGAGATTTGAATCTTTGGCCACCTGGCTGCAGTCCTTACATCCTCACCCATCCCTCTAAGTGAGGTCACGCTGCCTGGCAGTGCCTATCTCCTGAGCAGTAGGTATTCAGTAAGTGAGTCAGATGGACAGGTTGCTGGGGGAGACTCCACTGGTGTGGATACCCGCCCTGACTTTCTGGAGAAGCACGTTGATGTATGTGGGAAGCTCTTCTGGCCTCAGTTTCACTGTGACCGCTGCCTTGAACAGCCTCCATCACCAGCCAGCCTAGCCCTCGTATATGTAGTCCCTCTGGGTCTGGAGGTCTCTGCCACACCAGGATAGGCTATGCCTTTTCCCACAGAGTCCTAAAGGCTTTCTGGAGAGTTATGAAGAGATGCTGAGCTATGCCCTGCGGCCAGAGACCTGGACCACCACACGGCTGGAGCTGGAGGGCCGAGGGGTAAGTTGGCCTTGCTGGACCTGAGCCCGAGGCCCCATGTACCTGAAGTGTTTGAGCAGAAGGGTGCCTGTGCTCCATAAATGTTGAAAGTGCCCCTCCTCCTGCCCTGCAGTACGGGATACCCACATACCCAGCCCTCTTTACCCTGATTCACCCTGCACCCTGTGGTAGCACCTGCACCCTCCACCCTCAGGGGCCTCCCTTGGACAGTGGCCCTGCAACTTGGGCACCCAGGAGGTAGTGCAGCCTGCCCTCCCGCAGGTGGTGTGCATGAGCTTCTTTGACATTGTGCTCGACTTCATCCTCATGGACGCCTTCGAGGACCTGGAGAACCCCCCATCCTCGGTGCTCGCCATCCTGAGGAACCGCTGGCTGTCCGACAGCTTCAAGGAGACGGTGCGTCACCAGCCACACCTACACTCCCACATCCCCACATGTTTGTCCTTTCCTTCTGGATACAAAAATGGAGCTCTCCGCACAGTTGGTCACAGCCTGGGCTCCCTGCCCCTGAAATTTAGAGCCACCCAGGCTGGGCTGACTTGGCATATGCCCTGGAACGGCTTCACAGGATGCCACTGTTGTCCTTCTGCACCCATTTGGAGTTGTCATGGCTGCCATTTCTGTCTGTGCTGTGGATTCATGTGGTTAATTCTCCTCATTCGGCACATAAAATTGTTGTTGTTCTGTACCGTCAAGTTGCATTCGATCCTGTGGGTTTTCAGAGACAGTTCGTTCATGGGAGGAAGTAATCAATTCATATTTCACTTGTCTTATTAAAGTAAAATATGAAAGAAACTACAAAACAAAACTGAAAAACATACAAACAAGGAACAAAGAGAGCAAGAGGCTAGTGTGGGGGTCCTCTGTCAGGACAGGAGGGGACATCCCAGCTGCCATGCCCTCACTGTGTAGGTGTCACCTTGGAGAAGGGCTGGGTGCTGTTGTACTAGGTGTTAGGAGGCTTGAAGGTGGAAACCACTGATATCCACAACCACTGAAGGAGGTAGGGGTGCTGTGTCATAGCCATTTCACAGAGGAGGAAGCCAAAATACAAGGAAATTCATTGGCAAGTCTAGGAACCTGCAGTAATGAGGTTGGAGTCTGGGTTCAAATTAAAGTGTTTCTGATTCCAGATTGGAAGGAAGGAAACAGCCCTGTCTGTGACAGGCATGAGCCACCTTCCTGCTGGGTTGGGATAGGTGGGAACAAGGCTAGTACCCTGCCTGGGAGGTGAGCAAGTTGGGGGGCCCATGCTTTGACACTTAGGGTGTGGCCGTCTCTGATTTAGGCCCTGGCCACCGCCTGCTGGTCGGTCCTGAAAGCCAAGAGGAGGCTGCTGATGGTGAGTGACCCTGACAGGCCACTGGGGTCCCTGGGCATGTCCAGAGCGTCCTTAGCCAGGCCTCCAGCCCAGCAGCTGCTCCATTGGGCTGGATGGGATGGGGGCAGGATGGGATGGGTGGAAGGATGCTGAGCTGCCCAGTCCAGCACAAGTCACCCCACCTTCTTGTTACCTCTCCCTTGACCAACAGCTCCCCAAAGGCACATGGAGATTTTATTTACCTCTAACTCAACACAGAATTAAAAAAAAACCCTTGCTCATTGGCACTGAGTCAGAACTGACTCATAGCTGACCCTCCAGAGGGTTTTTAGAAGCTGTTAATCCCACAGGAGGAGATTGTCCGTCTTTCTCCCCAGGAGCGGCTGGCGGGTTTGAACTGCTAGAGAGAGAGGCACCACCTTTGTGTTAGCAACGCAGCCAGCGCTCCGTCAGCACAGACTCCAGCAGTTACAGAGAGGTCGAGAAGAGGTAGAAAAAGCTCTCTTGGGGTGGCAGGTGGACATGGGGCAGATGTCACAGAGGAATAGGCGAACCGCCTCCCTCCACCAACTGCACTGCCGCTTATCTGTGCTCCCAGGTGTCAGCTGGCCACACTGTCTGAGCCACAGCCCTGGGCTCTGTCAGTGGGGACCACTGTCCCACATGCCAGCTGCCTCCATTGCCCTGTGCTCTGAGCCTTTCATGTGCTCACCTCCCTGGGGCCCACCTCAGGCACTTCCCACGACAGTCCTGTGACCCCTGTTCCACCCCTGGCTGCATCTGTTCTGTGAGCACATGCATGAGGTGACACCCAGGCAGGGTCTCTATGACCCAGGCAGGAGCTGGCCACCTGCCACATCCCTGGGCCCTTACTCATCCCTCGGCCTCGCACACCCCACAACAGGTGCCCGACGGCTTCATCTCCCACTTCTACTCCGTATCGGAGCATGTTAGCCCTGTCCTAGCCTTTGGCTTCCTCGGACCCAAGCTCCAGCTTTCTGAAGTCTGTGCTTTCTTCAAGGTAAACTGAGGGTGTGTTGGTGTCTGCTGCTTCCCACCTGGCACCCAGGCCCTGAGACAGGACCCTGGGAGATATCAAGAATGAAGTGAGGGCCTGGACCTGCACCCCAGAGGGTGGCTGATGGGTGCCCAGGGAGGGGATGTGGTGCCCTCCTCTGAGAGCCTGGTCCAGGTGCACCTCGTGGAAGCACCATGAGGGTGGAGCCCCTGAGTGCGAGACCTAGGGCTGGGTGCTGGTGGAGGTGGCATTGGCTCTGGCTGGTCTGGAGGATATTGTGGGGGGTGGGGACCTTAACGTCATCCCCATGCCGTCCTTGTGTAATAGCACCAGATTGTGCAGTACCTGAGGGACATGTTCGACCTGGACAACATGCGCTACACGTCGGTGCCCGCGCTGGCAGAAGACATCCTTCAGCTGTCGAGGCGCCGAAGCGAGATCCTACTTGGCTACCTAGGGGCGCCAGTGGCCAGCACCCTTGGCCTGAACGGGGCACTGCCCCAAGAGAATGGGCCCCTGGAGGGGCTGCAGTAGAGCAGGCTGATGGGGAGGGGGGCTGCCTGGGCCTCCTCGCCATAGTTGATTGACAGAGAGAGTTTTCCTCCTCCCATCTGGGTTGGCACTGTTAAAAGTCTGAATCCCTCAGAGGCGGCCTTCATGGCTGTCCCTGGCTGACCGGGGGCCCGGTTCATCATTGGGCAACTTCAAGGCCCAGGGGCAAATGAATGCGAGGGCTGGAGTGGGGTTTCACCTGCTCAAGGCCTGAGAGGATGCAAAGGCTGGGACAAGGGGCTGGTGGACCCTGAGAGAGAAAGGAGGGTGGAGAGAGAGAATGGGAAAGAGAAAAGATGGGAAAGTGTTTTGGTGCAGGCTTGAATTGAGGCTCTGACAGAGATCATAGGCATGGGGCGCTGTGTTAGCATCCTGAACGCAGATGGCCCAAAGCCAAGCCTCTGCTGGCAATGAGGACGGCACCACCACCTGCTTCCTGGCGAGTTTGCAGCTTGCAAGGTGGTTGTGGTGATGATGGGGGCGGCCATAGAGGGAGGAGCAGCAGGACAAAGGTATATTGGTGAGGGACAAGCATGGACCATCTGGAGAGGTACAAGGAGAGCCGGCATCCCTCTTGTCCTCGAGTCTGGGCAGGGGCTGGACCCTTGGCAACCCCAAGCACCAAAGCATCCACTCAGACATTCCCTTACCCTGCCAAAGATTGTCTTTTCCTCCACCACCAAAGACAGGAGGTGGTGAGGCTGGGTGCCCCGAGTCTCCCTATCTCTCTCTGAGGCTGGGACCCCTGGGGGATGCCTGGCTCTGGATGGGGTTCCTGTGAGTTGGTCCTTAGATGTCAGAGCCTTGGAACTACCTGTTTGGACTGCTTAGCATCCAGGAGTGAAGGGCCCTGGGATCACGCCCTGGAGGTCAGATCCTTGCCCTCACTCAGACAAGAAGCTTTGAAGGTGTGGATGTCCTGGCACTTGCCATTAACTTGCTCTCAGAACTCTTAACCAGCCCAGAGCCCTCCTGGGGCATGGCGCCACCCGCTGGCCCTGTTAGCATTTATCCCACAGCTTTGTCCCCTCACTGCAGACTCACTTCTCTACAGTCTTTTCACCTGAGGTGGGATGTTTTATTTATTGCCTTAACACTTTATTTTGAGACTTGGCCCTTTGAAGGTCGAGAGACTTGTAGGAAACAAATGAACTGTTGCTTTTTTCATACTCTGGAATTCCAGTATTCTGGACTGAGGCCCCTCAAACCTGGGTCCCTCTCCCCTGGATGTCAAAGGTGTCCCAGGAGTCAGGTGATCTTTGCGAGGAAGAGGGGAGCAAGGAGAGGGAGTGGATACAGCCCATATCTCTCAGACCACATCCCCCATGCTCCCCAACTGACAGCACTTGTGAGGTTTTGGCCCCAAACCCCCACCCCTTGCAGCTGGTGCCCTGGAGGAACAGCCTCCCCTGGACCGCAGCGCCCCTCCTCCATTCCCTACATTCCACTCATTTGCACTTACCCTGCGTTGTGAATGTATTCTTGGGCCCAAGCTCCAGCCCACTCTGATTTGCTCCCTAATCACACAGAAGTGACATTTTTGTTTTGTCTTTGTTTACACGTCCACGCACTGCCTCTAGCACTCGATTTGTTGCAGCTTCCAACTTTTGTACGGTAGTGTGCACCGAATGTGAGTCAAATAAATGATTTCCTTCCACGTGGCCGTATGGCTGGGCACATGTGTGTGGCCATTTGCGTCTTGGACAAGAATTGGAGACACACCCTTTGTGGTGCTGTCAACAGCGGTTCTGTGAGGATAAAAGTCTGGGAAGCTTCTTGGAGGCTGGGATCCCACTTGGACCACTTAGTATCTGAACAGGCTCCGTCACTTTCTTATCAGGGAGAGCCACAGGTTCATGGGGAGAGCAGAGTGGGCAGCGGTGCTTAGATCCAGCCCAGGCAGCAGTCCAGGGTGGTCTGTCTGTGGGCCTCAGTTTCCGCAGCTTTAAGACACAGGTGTAGGACTGACCAAGCCAGGTGTTGCAGAATCCCAGCTGGAATGTGGGGATGCAGCAGTTCCAAACTTAGCAGATTTTCAGATTTTTCTTTCACGGGCATTGGAAGTTGCAGTTGTGTGGTTTTTTTGTTTGTTTGTTTGTTTTGTTTTGTTTTTTAATGAAAACTTGAAAAGTCTCCCATGCACAGAGAATGTTGAGAAAGCAATATAAACAACACTGAGAAAAATAACACCTAAATTCAGAAATTAACACTTGCTGTATTTATTTAAGGGGAGTTCGGGTGGTCTAGTGGTAAGGAGCTGCGCTCCCAACTCACAGGCACATGGTTCTAATCCACCAGCTGCTCTGCAGGAGAAAATGGGCAGTCTCCTCCTGTGCCATTTACTGCCTCTGAAAACCTACAGGAAGGTCACCTATGACTCAGTTCCAACTCAATGGCACCTAACAACAAAACATAATCACATTTAAGGGATTATCAGCAATTCTCTAATATCTACTAGGGTTGGACAAGAAAAGCTTTTCCAGTTAACTGGAAGTGAACTTCAGTTCTGCATGCAAAGTTCCATTTTCAGAGACATGAGCATCAATAGGATATAGTGGTGATTCCACTGGGCTTTCTCTGTTGTCCCTGAAGGAAGCTCCTTGTCTCCTTCAATCATTGGGGCCTGGCTTTTCATGGACATCTTCATGAGTTTGGGGGCTTCATTCAGCAAGGGGCCTGTGTTGGGTGGACTCACTCCACTCCCGACTCTTTTTTCTGTACTCTCTGCCCATTACCACCTGTTAGCTTCTGTCCTTTTAACTCCTTTGTTTAAAAAAAATATTTTTTGCATGAGAATGAGTGTATGAAATAAAATATATGCAAACTTTGTAAGCAAACCAGTAAGAAAATTGGTTATGTAATTTTTTTAAAAATTGGGTTTTGTGCAGTAATTACGTTTTATTTCATACAATCATTTGTATGCAGTGTTATTTTATATATGGTTATTACCCCACATAGGTCCCCATTGACTCTTTACTATTTCTTCATACACATACCCCAGTCTGCCTATTAAACTCTGCTATCTTACTGATTTCCACCCTTCCCATTTTTCCATCCTCTTCCCCATCTCTCCTTCCCCTTTTGGACATTTCTACACATTAAATTATCCTGCTGTTTTTACAATAATGGCCTTAAGCAGTACTTATGAGACTGAGATCATTCAGTATAATGCTCTCTAGATTCTCCCATGTTATATAGTACTTTACAAAATGCTTATTCCATAGTGCTACATAATAGTCCATTATATGGAAGTACCACAATTTCTCAATCCATTAATTTATTGATGGCCATCTGAGCTGTTTCCATTTTTCTTTTGTAAATAACACTGCTGTGAACAAAGGTGTACATATCTCCCTTTGTGTCTCAGTTCTAATTTCCTTGGAGTATATTCCTAACAGTGGGATAGCTGGATCGTTTGGGATTTCTGTGTTCAGCTTTTTGAGGAAACATCAAACTGCCTTCCATGAATGGTACGCCAGGCTGAGCAGTGGTTATGTCATAATTCCACCAGGAGTGTGTTCCAGTTTCTCCACATCCTTGCCAATATGTATTGGTTGCTCTCTTGTTACACTTTACTACTGCTACTAGAGTGAGATGGTATCTCATTATTTTAACATGCATTTATCTGATGTCAGTTGCTTTGAGCATTTCTTCGTGCTTCTGTTGGCCACCTGAATGTCTTCCTTTGTGAAGAAAGTTTTTTCATGTCTTTTTCCCATTTTGTGATTGGGTTATCAGTCTTGAGGCCCTTTAACAGTCTATAAACTTTAGTTATAAGACCCTTGTCTGAGCTGTCATTACTAAAAGTTTTTGCTCAGTCTGCTGGTTTTCTTTTCACTCTATTAGGAGAAGTTTTTGATGCACACAGGGACTTAATATTTAGAAAGTCCCATTCATTGATTTTGTCTGCTCCTGGTTGTACAACATGTCCTTTTCTCTTTTAAGAGAAAAGATGCTGCATCTCACCCCTAATCCTCTTACAGTTGATCAGTTTATCATTTCATTGGGGATCATTACTTAACGGCTAAAGCTATGAAACAACCAACTTGATGTTATGGGGGATCCAGTTCAATCCAGAACATGTAAGTTTGTGTGTTTGACTTTTCTCATTTGGAATAATGGTTTTCCATTTTATCCATGTTGTTGTTATGTGCCATCGAGTTGCTTGCAACTCTTAGTGACCCTGTGTGCAAGAGCCCTAAGCATCATTCTATCCTGTGCCAGCCTCACCCTCTCAAACACACGCATTCCCACCACTCCACTCACAGAAACTATCCATGTCATTGAGGGTCTTCTCTCCTGCACTGTCCCTCCACTCTCCCAAACATGATGTCTCTCTCCAAGGACCAGTCCCTCCTTGCAACATGCCCAAAGTATGTCGGATGAAGCTTCAGAATCCTTGACTCCAGGGAACATTCTGACTTCACCCTCTCCAGGACAAACCTGTTTGTTCTCCTAGCAGTCCATGGTATATTCAACACTCTAGGGAAAACCTAAATTAATACTCTTCTCCAGCACCACAGCTCAAAGGCATCAATTCTCTCTCTACCATCCCTATTCATTGTCCAACTCTCCAATGCATAGCATATAATTAATTGCAAAGTCTATAGCCTGGATCAGGTGCACTTTAGTCTCCAGCCTGACATCATTGCTCTTCAGTACTCTTGAGAGGTCCCTCACAGCTGACTTTCCCAATGCAATTCGTCTCCTGATTTCCTGGCTGCTGTTACCGAGAGTGTTGACTGTGGAACCAAGTAAGTTAAAACTGTTTACTATCTCAATCTCTTCACCATCCATACTGATGCTGCCAGTTGGCCCAGTGGTGACTGCAGTCCTTGACTTTCTGGAGCAAGTGCTTCAGGTCCTCCTCAGTTTCAGCAAGCAGGGTTGTGTCATCCACATAATGCAGTTTGTTGATGATTCTTCCACCAATCTTGATGCCACATTCCTCCTTGTACAACCCAGCATCTCAGATGTTCTATTCTGTATACAGATTGAAAAACT